ACCTGGAGGTGGGCGCGTGCCCGGCTACGCGGAGGCTGAGGGAGGAGGATCACACCGCAGTGAGACCCTGTCTAAAAAATACACGCATACAAGAAAAGTCAGACGGTAGTAAGTACTGAGAGGTCTGATAGAGGAAAAGAAAGGCAAAAAGCAGGGAAAGCGCCCCTCACCCCCAGGCTAGAAAGGTGGGGATGGAGCTAGCATTTTGGAGGTCTCGGCGGTAAAGTGTTGTGTGAGCACAGACCCGAAGGAGGAAAGTGCCTTAGCCGTGAGGCTGCCTAAGGGAACAGCTCCCGTGGTGGAAACAGCAGTGACAAAGACCCTGGGGTGGAAGCACCTCGGTGTTCCTGCAACGGCAAGGAGGCCAACGTGGCAGGAAACCAACTTGGAGAGGAAGTCAGATGAAGTAAGAGAGGGACCAAAAAGCCAGTCTAGGGTACTACAAGCACCTTGGCTTTTATTCTGAGGTGGGAAACTTCTATTTTTTTTTTTTTCTTTTTGTGCTAGAGGGCATATGCACTTGCCAGGCAGAGACAGACAGACAGGGAGAGAAGAAAACTCTCCCTGGGCTAGCTGGTGGTGGGGCACTTAGGGAGGCTGGATCCCACATGGCTGACTATGTGGTTTGAGTCTTGGATCTGGCAGCTTGAAAAACATACCAGGCATGTGTGTGTGTATGCCTAAAATTCCAAGAGGAGAAATCGAGAAGGGATTGCAGTGAACCATGTGGGGGGTACTTTCTCTGTCTCTGCCTTTGTCTCTGTCTCTCTCTCTTTCTCTGGCAAGTGCATGCACCATCTAGTAAATTTTTTTTAGGATTTTACTGTAAGGTATGTGCACTCACCAGAAAGAGACGGAGAGAAAGTGAGAAATCACCCCCCAGGGGGATGGCCACACCACAATCCCTTCTTCTCCTGTGGAGGTACACTCGCATATGTGCCTGGCATGATTTTCAAATGGCCAGGTACAAGGCTCAAACAGCAGTTGGCCGTGTGGAAGTCCAGTGCCTTAACCACCACGCCACTTGCTGGCTCCCTTCTACTGCAATACATTTTTTTTTAAAAAAGAAAAGAACAAAAACAGAAAGCGTACTCCCTCCCATCCCATGGGGAATGGTCACACTACAATTCCTTCTCTCCGTCTCACCCTGCTTTCTGGATTTTGGGCACACACAGACACATGCCCAGCGTGTTTCTCAAGATACTGGGCCCAGAACTCACATGTACGGCTGGCCATGTGGGATCTGGCTGCCTTAACCGCCGGGCCATGGAGGCAGCCTGGGAAACTTCCCTTGTAGCGGGATCACTCACTCTAACTCTAGTGCTGAGAAGAGACTTCGGGGGAAAGGGCAGGCGTAAGGAGCCTGGTTAGGCTGATTCTGCAGTGGTCAGAGTGTGGAGGCGGAAAGGAGTGGTCAGGCTCTGAAACTATTTTTGTTTTGTTTGCTTGCTTATTTATTTACTCACTGAGCCAGAGAGACCGCACCCCCAACAGGGTCTTGATGCTGTGATCCGGCCCAGCCTTAGCCCCAGATCAGGGGCACACACATGCCCCGTGTGCTCAGAGGGCTCTCCGGACGTGAACACGGTACTTTCCCATGTGGGTAGGCCTCGTAGAGAACTGTGCTTTAACCTCTGTGCCACTGTCTGAAATATTTTGAAGGGAGATTAGCTGATACATCAAATGTGGGGAGTGAAAGAAAGAGGAGTTAGGGATGACTCTGGTATTTTTGGATGAATGGAATTGCCATTTGCAGAAAAGACTGCAGGAGGAGCAGGTCTGGGCAGGAGTAGGTGAAGACTTGGTTTTAGACATCTTGAGGCTGAGTGGCTTACTAGCCTCTAAAGGAGACGTCAAATAGGCAGCTGGCGATACGTGAAGTTGAAGCTCAGGGGGAGAGTTTCGAGCTGAAAATAATCATTTGGGATTCACCAGTATGTGGGTGGTAATTAAAGCCTTGAAATTAGATGAGGTCACCTAAGCAGCGACTTAGGGAAGAAAAACACAAAGACTGAACTCTGGGACACTCCAACATTCTTAAGTTGAAAGATAACAAACAGAAGAGCAATGAAGATTGAATTTGGAGGGGCCACCAGGTGGTGTGATGGTTAAGGTGCTGAACTCCCACAGAGCTGACCATGGTTCAAATCCCGCACCTGGTGACTTAAAAATCATGCTGGGGGGCACCAGCATTTGGCATAATGGCTATGTTGCTGGATCCCTATGTAGTCAACCGTGGTTCGGGTCTTGGACCCGGTGGCTGGAACTCATGCTGGGTGTGTGTGCATGCATGCCTAAGATCCCGAGAAGAGAATGGAGGAGAAGGGATTGCAGCGTGGGCATCCTCCCTAGGGGGTGATTTCTTGCTTTCTGTCTCTCTATCTTTCTGGTGAGCACACATGCCCTATAGCAAAAACCTCTCCCCCCGCCCCCCAAAAAAATCATGCTGGGTATGTGTGCATGTGTGCCCAAAATCCCAGGGGGAGAATGGAAGAGAAAAGACTGTGGTGTCATCATGCCCCTGGGGGGGTAATTTCTCACTTTGTCTCTCTCTGGCGAGCACACACACACTATGGTCAAAAAAAAAAAAAAAAAGTTTCGATTAAAATGAAGACAGAATGGTATCCTGGAAGCTAAGGAAGACAATTTCTCAAGGACAGTATGACCAGCTATGTTAAATATTCTAACGGGTCAAGTAAGACGAGTTACCAAAAACCGAATCCTGGACTTAGCCGTGTGGAATGACAGGAGAGCCTGAGCGGAAGGCCTGAGTGAGTAGGAGAGGACGTGGATAGTGAGCAGAGAAAACTCTTCCAAGGAGTTTAGCTACAAAGGAAGGTTTAGGAATGGGGCAGTATCTAAGGGTTGTATAAGAGTCAAGAGAAGAGCTTTTTTGTTTTTCCTTTTTTTTTTTTTTAGAGATATTCACTGTAGGGCGCGTGCGCTCGCCAGGCAGACAGAGAGAGACATAGAGACAGAAAGCGAGAAATCACCCCCCAGGGGGGATGGTCACGCCGCAATCCCTTCTCCTCCATTCTCCTCTCGGGATCTTGGGCACCCACGCACACGCGCCCGGCGTGAGTTTTAAGCCACCGGGTCCGGGACGTGAACCGCGGTCGACTACGTGGGAGTCCAGCGACATAGCCATTACGCAACTGCTGGTTCCCTTGTTTTTCCTTTTGAACAAAAGAAATGACAGGATGTATGCACGTTGACAGGAACGATCCAGAAGACAGACATGGGAAAGCAGTGGCAGAGTAAAGCTAGTTGATGTGCAAGATGATTTCTCTGGGAACGAAGATTTAGATGTGGCTGCTACACTGCGGCTTATTGATTGCCTAAGGTGAAAACAGGGAAATGCAAACTTTCAGCTAGAGGTTAGTGAAAATAATATGCACAATTTTTTTTCCTGTCCCAGCTCATGAGCCTCCTCGTGTTAGGGGATGACCAGGGTGGATGACATGATCACTGGGGTAGGAAAGCTGGAGGAACAAAGGCTGGAGAAATAAAACATGTAGACAGGGAAGTCTCTACGAAATTTTAAAGAGTAGCCTTAGAGAAAATGACAGTGATCTTAGAGCCAAAATCCTGGCCTCTGCCTTAATAAATGCCACTTGTGCCAAGGAATCCCCAATGCATCAGACAACTTCTGGACAATTCTAATGATAGGAAATGTCTTTTTTTTTCTTTTCTTTTTTTTTTTTTTCTGGAGAGATTTTTGCTATAGGGAGCGTACGCTCGCCAGAGAGACAGAAAGCAAGAAATCACCCCCCAGGGGGGATGGCCACGCTGCAATCTCTTGTCCTCCATTCTCCTCTTGGGATCTTGGGCACACTCGCACACATGCCTGGCATGAGTTTAAGCCAGGGGGTCCAGGACTCGAACCACAGTCGACTACATAGGAGTCCAGCGACATAGCCATTACACCAACTGCTGTTCCTGGAAATGTCTTTCTTTATCTGAATCATATTCTGTCACCTTAACACTCCTCATACTGTTCCCAGTTCACGTCTCTAGAACTATTCACTATGATGTGACTCCCTCCAACTTAGGATACTTCTTGAAGCAACTGAAGACAGTTCAGGGTTTTCTTTTTTTTTTTTTTTTTTTTTTTTACACGTAGAAGGCATTTATAGAAGTCTAGTAGATTATTCTTTTTAAAAGTATTTATTTAATTTTATGTTATTATTATTATTATTTGATGAGAGAAGTCTAGAAAGAGAAAGAAAGTGAGCGAGCAAGTTGCCAGGTCCAAGACTCAAACCATGGTCGGCCATGTGGGAGTCCAGCACCCTAGCCACCACGTTACCTGCTGGCCTCCCAGGTGTTCTTTTCTAGGGAGAACCTCATCAGGTCTTTCAACCATTCCTCATACATCGTGGTTTCCATGACTTTCACTACCTTGGTTGCTGTCTTCAGGATACATCTGATTTGTCAAATCCTTGGAGTGACAGAGTCAGTGGCATGATCTTCTGGCTTCCTTTCTGCTATTCAAATCCCTATGGTAACTGATAGATACTTTCAGGCCAGGAGATGGTGTGGAGGGTTAAGGTGGCTGGATCCCACATGGCCAACCTCATGGTCCAATTTCTGGACCCAGCAGCTTGAAAATCACGCCAGGCTTGTGTGCCTGAGTGCCCAAAATCCCGAGAGGAGAGTGGAGGAGAAGGTGTGGCCATCCCTTGTTGGGGGTGATTTCTTATATCTTTCTTCTATCTCTCTGGCAAGTGCATGCACTCCATAGCAAAACTCACTCAATACTTTATTTTGCTAGGGTAGGTGTGGCAAAAACAACATTGTTACTGAGCAACAGCAAAACACCGTATACAAGTTTGACAAAGACCCTTCTCCTTCACGACCTGCTGCCTTCTACTAGCCATGCTCAATTCACAGTGATTAATGTTGCAGCGGGATTATGGACAAGAAAGACCATTACAGTGCTAATGGGCCTAACACACGGCAATAAGACTCCGACTTAGTACGGTGGCAGGAGTACTTACGAGAATGTCGGTGTTTTCAAAATAATTCCTCCAGTATGGTCTGATTTTCCTCTGTCCGCCAATATCCCATACATTCAGTTTAAAACCTTGTGACTGTACACTTTTGATGTTAAAACCCTGAAATAGACAAAGGCAAAGCAACCAGGATATGTTAAACTTTGAGATCACAATTCTGATAAAGTTACATTTAATAGCAATGCTTTTTATGAATTCTGAGGGATTCTGCCAGATGTGATACTGTTAATATTGAAAATGGTTTGCTAGGATAGGGCAGAAGAAAACATTTTAAACATGTTCATTTCTTTGGGTTATGGGGTCAGTAGCAATGTCAGAGCTAACATGACATTTTATATAATTAAAAAATATATACAGGGCTGGCAGATGGCATAGTGGTTGGAGTGCTGGACCCCAACTCCAGCAAGCTGCTTTCTCACTTTCCCTCCCTCTCTTTCTGTGTCTCTCTCTGCTCAAATTAAAATAAATAAGTAAATAAATAAATAACAATGAGTAAAATGAAATTCAAAAAACAATTCTTTTTTTAAAAAAGAGTTATTCAATTTTATGTATTTGTTAATTTATTTTTAAAATTTGATCAGAGAGAGACAGAGAGAGAAGGAAAGCGAGAAAGGAAGCCACCAGGTCCAGGACTTGAACCATGGCTGGCCATGTGGGAATGTCCAGCACACCACCTGCTGGCCTCCAAAAAACTGTTTAAAAACAATGTGTGTGGGGGGGACCAGCAGTTGGCATAATGGCTATGTCACTGGACTCCTATGTAGTCGACTGCAGTTTGAGTCCCAGACCCAGTGGCTTAAACTCATGCTGGGCGCATGAGTACATGCGTGCTCAAGATCCCGAGAGGAAAATGAAGGAGAAGGGATTGTGGCGTGGCCATCCCTCCTGGGGGGTGATTTCTTGATTTCTGTCTCTCTGTGTCTTTCTGGCAAGTGCACACACTCTATAGCAAAAACCTCTCCAAAAAAAATACCCAGTGTGTGTGTGTGTGTGTGTGTGTGTGTGTGTATGTGTATGTGTGTATTTGCTGAAGACAACCTGGTACGTGAATAGGTTGGATAATCAATGAGTTAACACAGATCATACCCCGTGATGAACCCTCAGGATGGTAAAATTTCACAGGACAGTACATATAACTAACAAAACACAGAAGCTGAACCTGAAGACTCCACAGAAAAGAACACATGCTAAATTTAAAAAGAAGCAAGAGATGCAAATCTGGAGGATTAGAGTCTTCAAGTGCAGCTCAAAATAAATGTCCTCACACAGAGTAACTGGGAAGGCGAGGGGAGGCGAGGCGATGGTCTGTACGGGGCCTGCCGTCCCTGCAGCGGGTGGGGCCTGCTCGGACAGTGTGCTCCACGCAGACAGTGACAGAAGGAACAAACGCGTCATTTCAAACTGTGCTTTAAGCTGTGTCTCTGATGAATCAGAAAAGAAAGGATTCATTTTTAGGACAGTTACTCAAGGTGGGTCCTAGAGAAAGGTGAGCAAATCAGGGACAGGCAGAATTTCTGGCTAGGAGTTGGTGTGGAGAGAAATAAATTAACACAATATTTGGGATTCAGAGAGAATGCATTTCAAGAGCAAGAATTTCAAACAAAAACAAAACCAAAAACAACTTCTTGCAAGAATGACATGAGGAAGCCAGAGCTAAAAATCTCGTGAGCAGTCTGTGACCACAGAACAGACATTTCAAGGAGAGTGACGGGTTAAGTGGGTCTGGTTAAACGTTTACGCCTCTGTAAACGTTTGCCTCAGCGGGCAGCTTGCCCACACCACTGCCTGGCACACGGGGACAAGGCGCAGTGCCATGGTACAGAAACACGGCCACCCAATTTCCACCGCGGATAACTAGTCTCCAGAGGATAAGCAGGGATGAGGCCGGCTACAGCTCCTCTAGAACACCAAGGACTGAATAAATGAGAAGTTTAAGAACTCTAAATGGAAATGGCTTAAGCTTATTGTAAAAGACAGCTTCAGTGGGACTCATTGACAAAACTACTTGTGCACATCTAAAAATTCTACATTTAACAAGGACATTACGTGTCAAACCCAGGAACGCTGAATGAAGAAGGGAATGTAGTAAGTTTTGGAATTTGACTGTATGTATCAACTGCCTCCAACTTCTGTAAGTTATCAGACCAAACAAATCTACTAGGAAATTCTTCAAAGGAAATAATAATGAATGGGGGGCAGGGGCTGGCAGCTGGTGAAGTGGTTAAAGGCACTGGACTCCCACATGGCCGACCGTGGTTCAACTCCTGGACCTGGCGACTTGCTTTCCTGCTTTCCTTTTCTCTCTCTCTATCTCTGTCTGGTCAAATTAAAAAATAATAATAACAAGTGGAATTAGTTCATGATATATTAAGTGAAAAGGATTGTATAAAGCTGTATATTCTGGGACCAGCAGTTGGCATAATGGCTATGTCGCTGGACTCTCATGTAGTCGACTGCAGTTTAAGTCCCAGACCCGGTGGCTTAAACTCACACTGGGCACGCGTGTGTGTGTGCCCAAGATCCCGAGTGGAGAATGGAGAAGGGATTGCAGTGTGGCCATCCCCCCTGGGGGCTGATTTCTCGCTTTCTGCAGCTCTGTCTCTCTCTTTCTGGCGAGCACACATGCCCAATAGCAAAACAAAACAAAACAAAACAAAACAAAAAACAAAAAAACACACACACAAAAAATGGGAACAGCAATTAGTGTAATGGCTATGTTGCTGAACTCCCATGTAGCCAACTGCGGTTGGAGTCCTGGACCCGGTGGCTTAAACTCACGCCAGGTGCATGTGCGCCCAAACTCCCCAAAGGAGAATGGAGACGGGATTGCGGCATGGCCATTCCCCCTAGGGGGTGATTTCTCTCTTTCTATCTCTGTCTCTCTGGTGAGCGCACATGCCCTATAGCAAAAACCTCTCCAAAAAAAATCAAAACCAAAACCAAAAAAAACCAGTATATTCTCTATATGTCATTTAACTAAATTAACTAATTTATTTTAAAAATTTTTTAGATTTTTTTTTTTTTTTGCCTTGGGATATGTGTGCTTGCTGGAGAGAGTGTGTGACAGAGAGGGAAAGCGAGAACTCCCCGTTCCCCCTGGGGGAGGGGGCTGGCCACACTGTAATCCCTTCTCCTCCATTCTCCTCGTGAGAATGTGCCCACTGTGAGTTTCAAGCCACTGGGTCTGGGACTCTCACGGTTGAGTGCAGCAATGTAACCACTATGCTATCTGCTGGCCCCTTATTTTTATTTTTTTTTAAGTTTCTTTCTTTTTTCCATGAGTGAGAGAGACAGAGGAAAAGAGAGGTGGTGGGGGTGGGGAGGAGACAGACAGCACCCCTTAGCAGGGTTTTTCACACCGTGATCCACCGGCCTCACCCAGTCAGGATCATGGGCACATGAGTACCTGTTGTGTTCAGGGAGGTCTCTGGACACAAACCTGGACCCTGTCCAAGTGGGCCAGCCCTGCAGAATGTATGTTATCACTGTGACTATCCGGCCCTTATTTTTTGTTTTAAATACACCTATCACATATTGGGTTGTCAGAAAAGTCATGATGCATTTTTTTCTTCTTTTTTTGAAGAGGTTTTTGCTATAGGGTGTGTGCACTTGCCAGACAGACAGAGAGAGATAGAGAGACAGAAAGCGAGAATCACCCCCCAGCGGGGATGGCCACGCCGCAATCCCTTCTCCTCCATTCTCCTCTCCGGATCTTGGGCACGCATGCACACGCGCCTGGCGTGAGCTTTAGCCACTGGGTCTGGGACTCGAACAGTGGTCGACTACATGGGAGTCCAGCAACATAGCCATTATGCTAACTGCTGGCCCCATGATGCATTTATAAACAGAAAAGCATAGAAAAAATATGCCATGACTTTTCTGACAACCCAATATATACTGACATTTGACAAAAATCTGAATGGACACATTCCTAAATGTAAACAGTGGTTCTATCTGACAGGGTGTTACAGGTGAGGTCTAGTTTCTCAATTTACTTTATTTATACTTTCTAAGTTATATGTACTATAATGAACATCTATTACTTTTTCTAATATAAACAAAAAAATACAATAAAAGTTTATTTTTAAAGAATAAATACTGGGTCAGCATGTGGTGTGGCGGTTAAGGTGCTAGGCTCCCATGTGGCCACCTGTAGTTCGAGTCTTGGACCTGGTTGCTTGCTCACTCTCTCTCTCTCTCTCTCTGTCTCTCTCTGGTCAAATGAAAAATATTAATAATAAATAAATAAACATTTAAAACTAATTCTTTAAGAAAAGAGAAAGAATAAACATAAAAGCATGACCTAATATGCTAAAAGTCTTCTATAACACATCACAGGAAGCCTGAAGGAAATTTGAGTTAATAACTTTGACTGCATGGCTACATTTCCAGTGTGAAAGTCATCATTCTAGTATTCTTGAGAGATACAGTCAACTGCTAATAATAATACTTTTTGAAAGAAAGATAACAAAAAACCCTAGCTTTTCCTTATTCTGGCAGAAATCCTGACACACTAATATGTGTTTGCAGCCCTTCGAGGCCACACTCCTGTAATTTGCTCCTCTTAACTCAGAAGCTGTGAAATTGCTCATGTGATATTGGTTGAAATTACTTTTCTGTGAAAAGCTGAGATGCGACAAGACTCAGGCCATGAAGTACACACACCAGCACGGCCACTCAAACCTGACACAAGGTCTTACCAAGAACGCACCAGGGACCAGCAGTTGGCGTAATGGCTGCATCGCTGGATTACCATGTAGTAGACTGGTTTGAGTTCTGGACCCGGTGGCTTAAACTAACGCCAGGTGCATGTGTGTGCGTGTCTAAGATCCCGAGAATGGGGGGTGGTTTCTTGCTTTCTTTCTGTCTCTCTCTGCTTTCTGGCAAGCGCACACATCCTATAGTAAAAACCTCCCCACCCCCTGCAAAAAAAACATAAAAATAAAAATAAAAACAAAAATTACAACAACAAAAAAGAACACACCAGCATGGCCACTCAAACCTGACACAAGGTCTTACCAAGAACAGTGAGAGAAAATGCTAAATAACTCAAGTTTTGCCAAAATTGCTAATGCTCAAACACTTTAAATAAGATCAACAGGCTGTCCCTTTTGGCTTAGCTAAAGGTCAAAATTTCTTAGGAGTTCCTACAGGAAATAAGGCCTAGAGACGCCTACTAGGAGTCTTCCAATCGATTTGTCTTTCAACTTCCATACCGTGAGTACCACCACTGCCTTATCCTTGAAGTTTTGCTCCCCTGGCCTTAGGAGCTACATCAAAAAAGGTAATTTTTAAAAAAGTATTATTTAATTTTATTTATCCATTTATTTATTTTTAATTTAGCCAGAGAGACATCAGAGAGAGAGGGTGGCCAGAGAGAGATAGAGAGAGAGAGAGGGAAAGTGAGAAAGCAAGCCACCAGGTCTGGGACTTGAACAGTGGTCAGCCAAGTAGGAATGTTCAGCACCTTAAACACCACACCACCTGCTGGTCCCTGTAATTATTTTTTATTTAAAAAACTGGTACATAGGGCCAGCAGGTGGTATGTATGTAGGTTAAAGTAGCTGGATCCAATATGGCCGGCCATGCAGTTCGAGTCCTGGCCCAAGCAGCTTAAAAAACAGGCCAGGCACATGTGCATACCTATCCAAAATCCTGAGAGGAGAATGGAGGAAAAGGGACTGCAGCATGGCCAATCTTCTCCCCTCTTCCCCTGAAGGTTGAGTTCTCACTTTTCCTCTCTTTCACTCCTGCAAATGTTCACAACCTATAGTGAACTTAAAATCAAACAAACAAAAGGTATATATTTGCATTAAATGTGAAAAATACACACTAAAATACTACCAGTGGTCTTCCTCAGAGTATGCGAGTTTTTTTCTTTATATTTTCTCTGCATTTTCTTTTTTTCTTCTTCTTTTTAATTTTTAGAGAGATTTTTGCTATAGGGTGTGTGCACTCACTGGAGAGACAGACATACAGAAAGCGAGAAATCACCCCTTGGGGAGATAGCCATGCTCCAATCCCTTATCTTCCAGTCTCCTCTCGGGATTTTGGGCACACAAGCACGTGTGCCCGGCATGAGTTTTAAGTTGCTGGGTCCAAGACTTGAACTGTGGTTGACTACATGGGAGTCCAGCGACGTAACCGTTATGCCCTCTGCTGGTCTCACTCTGCATTTTCTAAATGTTAAATTTCATAATCAGAGAAGATGAAATAAAAATTTTTTTTCAGGTTTTTGCCATAGGGCACATGTACTCACCGAAGAGAAATAGAGACAGAGAGAGGAAGAGTAAGAAATCATTTCCCAGGGGCGATGGCCATGTCAATCCCTTGACTTCAATTCTCCTCCTGGGATTTTGGACATACATAGACACATACTCAGCGTATTTTCATGTCACCAAGAGTCCAGGCCTCATACTGTGGTTAGCCATGTGAGAATCCAGTGCCCTAATCACTATGCTACCTGCTGGCCCCCTTTTAGAATTTTTTTTGCCAGATGAGGCTAGCAGGAGGCATAGTGGTCAAGGCACTGGATTTCCACATGGCCAACTGCAGTTTAGGTCCCAGACCTAGTGGCTTAAAACTCACATCAGGCGCTTGTGCATGCATGCCCAAAATCCCAAGAGGAAAACAGAAGAGAAGGGGCTGAGGTGTCCCCATCCCCTCTGGATGGTAACTTTTCACTTTCTGACTATCTCTCCAGTGAGTGCACGTGCCCTACAGCTAAAAAAATAACTCTCAAAAAATTTTTTTCTTTTTGCGAGAATGCACACACACTCCCCTGTGAAATACTGAAAAACCACCCTCTAAGAGTCATGGACACACTACCATTCCTTCTCCTCCACTTCTTCCCTCAAGATTCTAGGCATGCATGCCTGGCATGTTTCCCTAGATGCCAAGTCTGGGACTCAAACTGCCAAGTTGGCCATGTGGGTCTAACTGCCTTAGGCAGGCTCAATAAAACTATTTTTATTTTTAAAAGATTATTATTGTTTTTAAAATTTTGTTTGTTTTTATTATTGATTAATTTTGACCAGAGAGTGAGAGAGAGAAAGGGAAAGTAAGAAAGCAAGCTGCCAGGTCTGGGACTCGAACATGGTCGCTCATGTGGGAGTCCAATGCCTTGACCATCATGCCACCTGCCAGCCCCACTATTTTTAAAAAGAATATAGGTTGGGGACCAGCAGATGGCATAATGCTTATGTTACTGGACTCCTCACATGGCTGACATGGTTTGAGTCCCGGGCCTGGTGACTTCAAAATCACGATGGGTGCGTGTGTGTACAGGCCCAAGATCCTGGGAGAACAGAAGAAAAAGGATTGCAGCATAGTCATATCCCTGGGGGATGATTTCTCATTTTCCCTCTCACTGTCTCTGTCTTTCTCTATAGTGAGTACATATGTACAAAGGCAAAAACCTCTTAAACAAAAGAACATAGGTTGGCCCAGCTGCAGAGGTGCAGGCAGTAGAGTGCCACTGTGTAATACTGAAGCCATATGGGAAGTCCTGGGTTCAGATCCCAGGTGGACCTGAACATGCAGGCATACCAGCAGGCACCCATGACCCTTAGTGACCTGCAGTCTCAGTGGGGCAGGCTGCAGTGTGTGGCAAGACCCTGCAGGGTACTCCTCCCACCCCAACTACCATGTTCTCTCTCATGAATGAAACTTGGAACAAAACAAAAGAAAACCCCCAAGGGTAGGCTGATAGTTCAGTGGCTAAGGGAACTCAATCCCACATGGCTGACTGTGTGGTTTGAGTTGAAAAACAGGCCAGACCAGGCATGTGTGTGCCTGTGCCCAAAACCCCAAAAGGAAGAAGAAATGGAGAAGGGATTATGGCATGACTATTCCCCTTAGGGATTCTTTTCCCCTTTTCCTCTCTATTTCTCCTCCTCTGTGTCCCTCTCCAGTGAGTGCACATACCCTACTGCAAAATTTAAAAAAAAAAAAAATATATATATATATATTTAAATTGTAACTTAGATTTCAGGGATTGTCTTGTGATATACATCCACACACATGTACACATATTCATATATATGTACACATTTGCATATATGTACATTTTTAAAGAGAGATTTTTGCTATAGGGCATGTGGGCTCGCCAGAGACAGACAGACAGAAAGTGAGAAATCATCCCCCCTCCAGGAGGGATGGCCACACCACAATCCCTTCTCCATTCTCCCAAAATTGTGGGATTTGGGGCATATGGGCACACATGCCAGGTGTGAGTTTCAAGCTGTTGGGTCCAGGACTCAAAACAAGGTGGGCCATGTGGGAGCCCAGTGATGTGACCATTACGCCATCTGCTGGTCCCATGTGTACAAATGTTTTTTGTTTTGTTTTGTTTTGAAGGATTAGGGCATAGGGCGCATGTACTCGCTGAAGGGAGATAGAGAAAGTGAGAGGGAATGTGAGAAATCGCCCCCCAGGGGGATGGCCACACTGCAATCCCTTCTCCTCCATTCTCCCTCTGGGGTTTTGGACATGCACTCACATGTGCCCAGCATGATTTTCAAGCTGCCAGGTCTGAGACTCAAACCATAGTCATCCATGTGGGAGTCCAGCACCATAACCACCATATGGTGCTGGCCCGGCAAATGTGTTTTTTTATCGTGATTTCTGGTTTACCTAGAATCACTGTACATCTTTGTGGGCTACAGTATGGTTTTTTCAGAAGCACACATACAGTGCATAATAATCGATTCAAGGATACAGACATGTTTGTCTTACTCAAGGTTGAACATCTCCCCGTGCTTGTTCTATAGTAGTTCTGCTAGTTGTTCTGGTGGTATTGTACACTGAGTTATCAGACAATGTGTACTGTGCTGTGGTACTGTTCCATACCCTACTCCACCTTTACATGCATTCTTGTGTCTGTCAATCATTTTCTTCTGAATTGTCCCCATCCTCTCTCACTACACTGTGCAGATTTTGGTATCTACCAGAATTTTCATTATATATGATGTTCTATTTGCTTTATTTTTATCTATTTATTTATAAACATTTATTTATTTAGCTATCTATTTATTTGTCATGATTTTAGGGCTGTTGGGTCTGGGACTTGAACTGTGGTCGGACATGTGGAAGTCTAGCACCTAAACCACGATGCCACCTGCTGGCTCCATTTTATTTTATTTTATTTTATTTTATTTTATTTTATTTTATATTTGCCAGGGGGTGTGTGTGCTTGCCAAGGCGGGGTGGGGGGGGAGAAAGAACCCCCCTCACACACAATGGGGTGCGGTCACACCACAATTCCTTCTCCATTTCTCCAGCTTATTGGGATTTTGAGCGTGTATGCACACATGCCTAGCATGGTTTTCAAACTACCAGGGCTGGGACTCGAACTGCATGGTTGACCACTTGAGATAATGCTTCCTTAACCACTAGGCTATGGGACCAGTCCTATATATGAATTTTAAATTGTGCGTGAAATACATAAAATAAAATGTACCATTTAAAGTGTACAGTTATGTGGCATTAAGTACATTCACACTGCATCCATCTGCTCAGTTTCATTCCACTTGCAAGACTGACTCTGTACCCCTTAAACGGTAACTCCCCATCTCCGCCTCGCCCCAGCTCTGGTAGCCCCATTCTACTTTCCACCATTTTACACTCTCATACCTCCTATGAATGGAATCTGAGACACACACACACACACACACACACACAAACATCTACTAATTTTTTTTAAAGGGCACATGCACGTGCCAGAAACAGACAGCGGGGGAAAGTGACAGACCCACCCCCTCGCAAAGGAGTATGGCCAAGTCACACTCCCTTCTCCTCCAGTCTCTTTTTGGGATTTTAGGCACATGTATACACGCACCCAGTGTTTTTCAAGCTACTGCGTCCAAGACTCAACCCGCACAGTTGGCCGTGTAGGATCCAGCTGCCTTAACCTCCATGCCACCAGCTACCCCAATAGATTTTTGAAATATGATTATTTTAGACTGTACAGACTTTTCTCAGAAATAGTGAAAGTGGACAAAACGCCATTTCCCATTTTGTCTTCCTCATTGCTATGGGCATTTTCCTTGTGCGATGCAGCACCCGGAGCCAGGCGGCGCTCACCTGTGTAGGCGTGATGTGGCTGATGTCTTCAGACGCAAGCTGCTTCAGGAGAGTAGTCTTGCCAGCATTATCCAAGCCCAGGAGAAGGATTCTCACCTCCTGGTCCGGGGCACTTTTCAATTTGCGCAGAATTGAGAGTAAGCCCTTGAACAACCATGAGGGAGAAAGATTACTTAGGGGGTGCTGACCTTGAGATTACTCGGCATCAGAATGACTTCCTCTTTTATTATCATTTAGTTTTTGCAATAGGGCATGCACACTCAACTAGAGACAGAGAGAGAGAGAGAGAGAAAGAAAGAAAGTGAGAAATCTCCCCCCACAGGGGATGGTCACATAGCAACCCCTTCTCCTCCATTCTCCCCTCTGGATTTTGGGCATACATGCCTGTGTATTTCAAGCTGCTGGGTCTGGGACTTGAACCATGCTGCTGGCTATGTGGTATTCAGCGCCATCATCACCATGCCACAGGCTGGCCCCAGAATATCTCCTTGAAAACATTCTTGGTGGGGACCAGCAGGTGGCGTGGTGGTTGAGGTGCTGGATATGCCCACATGGCTGACCACGATTTAAGTCCTGGACCTGGCAGCTTGCTTTCTTGCTTTCCTCTCTTTCTCTCTCTCTCTGTGCGTATGTGTGTGTGTGTGTGTGTGGTCAAATTAAAAAAAGATGAATGAATAAATAAAATTAAATAAAAATAATTCTTAAAAAAAAAGAAGGAAAACATTCTTGGTTACAGAAAGCTTTTATTATTATTTTCACTCTAATGCCATTTATTCCATTTGTTTCATTTCAATTTGTGGCAAGTACAACAGTAAATTCAGCAACTTAACCAGCAGCATGGCTAGTTCTCTCTTCGCCTATTAATCCAGCTTAGTAGTCACCCCAGATCTCCTGGGAGTGTGAACTGCCACTCTGCTTGTGTCCCTAAAGCCCCTCATGTACACATAGAGTAGAACGCTCATCACATAACAGTAGGGCATCGATTCTTGTATATTCCTCCTTTACTACAGTGCAGTGCCTTGTGGGTAAGGATCATAGCTTCAGTCTCCCACAATGCCTGGCATACTGGCTAGACACTGGATTACAATTGAGGATTAAACAGAATTGCTCACACAAGTTAACGCAGGATTTTAAGGTGCTATATTAAAAGACTCAAGAAGTCGTTAAGAAAATTGAAGCTGGGCTCTCGGTTTAAGACTATATATTTTAGTTCACGTTTCAGATTTCTTCATTTAAAATACTCTTAGCCGTCATCTCGCTTTCACAAATCCTTATGGGATAAGGTGTACGGTAATAGTTACATGTGTTTCTCAGAAGGAAAATCTGATAAGATAGAGAAATTAGGGAATTGCAAAGAAATCTAAATTTAACCAGGGTATTTGTGACTAGTAATCTAATTTTTCTGTTTCCTGTTTTTATTTATTTATTTTTTAATTTTTGCTATAGGGTGCCTGTGCTTGCTAGAGAAAGAGAGAGCAAGAGGGAAAGTGAGAAAAGATCGCCCACCACCACTCATACTACAATCCCTTCTCTTCCTTAGCCTCCATTCCCCTTAGATTTAGGGCACATACACACGTGCACCTGGCATGATTTTCAAGCCACCAACACCAGGACTTGAACCACACAGTCAGCTATGTGGGATCCAGCTGCCTCAACCTCCGTGCCATCTACTGGCCCCATTATTATTTACGGATGGACATGAATCATGTTGCTTTAGCTAAGGACACAAGAAAATCTCTATAGGAAAGTTATTTGTTCTGTCCTGCGGCTGGCAATCTTGTTCTCATGAGGCATGGTTACAAGAATCAAAGAATTCCGGAGTTTAAAGGGCATATAATCTAATCTCACAACCCTAGTAGAAATTCCTTCAAGCTGAGTCTTAGAATTAAATAAAATGGTTCTATTTGTTATCCACATTGCACCAGGCAATAATTCAAACCAGTTTGTTCACTAAGATCAAAGAATACTTCTGTGAAATAATTCTCAACAACTGGGTCTTTGGACAATGATATGCAAATATGCTTAGTTAAGAATTCCCTTCTGCCTCGGAGATGCTTTGTTTACCATTCTAGTTCTGTATTTGCACCAACCTGCTAAGGAACACATTAACCTATGCCTCCATTTTTTTCTAGCAATAAAACAGAAGGTTTAGTCTAAGACAGACAAATTCTATGCTAGAAGATTTGGGGAAGAGAGACTGAACAGATTTGAAACAAACAAAATGATAGGCAGGACTTTTTTTTTTTAAGGCAGCACGTATTTATACTTGTATTTTTATTTTAGTGGCCTTGAATACTTTGACACCATTCTTTTTTTTTTTTTTTTTTGGAGATGTTTTTGCTATAGGGCACGTGCGCTCGCCAGAAAGACAGACAGAGACAGAAACGAGCAATCACCCCCCTCCCCCCAGAAGGATGGCCACGCTGCAATCCTTTCTCCTCCTTTCTCCTCTCGGGATCTTGGGCACACACACACATGCTCCCGGCATGAGTTTAAACCACCGGGTCCAGGACTTGAACCACAGTCGACTACATGGGAGCCCAGCGACATAGCCACTATGCTAACTGCTGGTCCTGACATCATTCTTTCTTAACACTATATTTATAAGGAGTCTCCCTCATTTCTGTTAGCTATATTGAAATCACTCATTTATAACACCACCTTTCGGATAGTTAAAATCAGAATTCTGAGATCCGCAGGAGACTGGTGATATAAAAACGCAAAGAATAGGAAAACACACTGCACTACTCGTTCTGAGCTCCTAATTGGATGAGAAAAGACAGGGTCTCATTACCTGATTATAAATTCCAAAAAATTAAAATTTGTCAAATTAGTGTATTAAATCACATACACGTAAAGTTCTTATACATTATCTACCGATCTAGAAATTGTGAAGGAAAATCTATTTTGTATAAGATGTTTTTAGTTTAAAATTAATATTTTGGTTTTCTCCTCAAATGTGTCTTCTTGGGGCCAGCAGCTGGCGTGGTGGTTAAGGGCACAGGACTCCTACATGGCCGACTGCAGTTTGAGTCCCGGACCTGGCGGCTTGTTTTCTCACTTTTTTTCCTCTCTGTCTCTCTCACTCTGTCACTCTCTGGTCAGATTTAAAAAACAAAAATAAATAAAATAAAGTTAAAAAAAATGTCTTTTTAAAAAATCATTAAATAAAAGTACTGGGGCCTGGGACCAGCAGCTGGTGTAATGGTTACATCACTAAACTGCCACATATTTGACTGTGTTTTGAGCCCCAGACCAGGAGGCTTAAAACTCATGCTGGGCATGTGTGCGTGTGTGCCCAAAATCCCGAGAGGAGAGTGAAGGGATTGCAGCATGGCCATTCCCCCAAGGGGTGATTTCTCCCTTTCTGCCTCTGTCTCTTCAGTGAGTACGCACACTCTATGGCAAAAATCTCTCTTTTAAAAAAAAGTAATACTGGGACCAGCCACAGCATGGTGGTTAAAGTGACTCGACCCCACATGGCCAACTCTGTAGTTCTAGTCCTGGACCTGGTGGTTTGAAAAACATGCCAGGCATATGTGTGTGCATGTGTGCCCAAAATCCCAAGAGAAGAATGAAAAGGGACAGAGGCATGGCCATCCTCCCTGGGGGATGCTTTCTCACTTTCTCTCTCTGGTGAGTGCACACACCCTACAACAAACTAAAAAGAAAAAAAAATGTTTTTTTGTAAGCTGAGGCTTTTTATATACTTATTTATATCTGAAATCGAATAATTAAGAGAAAAACATTAATTTATATTCGTCTTAAAAGGAGAGAGGCAGGGACCAGCATATGGCATGATGGTTACATTGATGGATGCCCACAGTTGACCACAGTTCGAGTTCTGGATCTGGTAGCTTAAAACTCATGCTAGGGGGACCAGCAGGTGGTGTGGAGGTTAAGGGTGCTGGACTGCATCCACGGGGTCGACCATGACCTGGCAGCTTGCTTCTCACTTTCCTTCTCTCTCTCTGTCCCTCTCTGGTAAAATTAAAATAAGTTAATAAATAAAGCTAAATAAAATAATTCTTTAAGGGACCGGCAGTTGGCGTAATGGCTGTGTTGCTGAACTCCCATGTAGTGGATCATGGTTCAAATCCCGGACCTGGTCGCTTAAACTCATGCCAGATGCGTGTGTGTGAGTGCCCAGGATCCAGAGAGGAGAGTGGAGGAGAAGGGATTGTGGTGTGACCATCCTTCCTGGGGGGCGATTTCTCGCTTTCTGTCTCTCTGTCTCTCTGTCTTTCTGGCAAGCACACATGTCCTATTGCAAAAACCTCTCCAAAAAAAATTAAAAATCATTCTAACTGTAGATGAACTTCATTAATTTAATGGTATAGAATACAGTACTTGTATATTTCTTTTTTCATTAAAATAATTTACTTAATTTTATTTATTATTAGCTATAGGGCATGTGCACTCACCAGAGAAAGACAGAGAGAAAAATGGAGAGAGAGAGGGAGAGAAAGCAAACTGCTAGATCTGGGACTTGAACCGCTGTTGGTCCTGTGAGAGTCCAGTGCCCTAACCACCACACCATCTGCTGGCCCCATTTGTACATTTCTAATGAGTGATTTTCTTTATCTTCACCTTTAAGTGAAATGACAGAAAATGAAAAGTCCAGCTACCATTTTCTTCTAGCAAAATGATAAAGGACATTTCACGCATGGTCTAGGGAAGACAAAGGTAAATACAAAACAGCATCATAATGACCCCGTACAGGACAGGGGATCACAGGATTATCAGGGTTTGCTAAATAGGGAAGATATTTATAGACGTCAGGGTTCTGCCTGAAAGGTACTAAGTAAGCTGATTAAAGGGCCCGGATGAAAGACAGCAGAGTAAGCCTATGCTATGCCTCTGTCCATGTACGCTCGCTCACCCTTTACTGTAAATGTCAGATGAAGGGAGACAGTCATTACAAGTGAAATGCATTAGGAGGCTGAATTCTGCAGCCTGGATACAATGAAATTAATTTTGAAAGTGTATCTTGCCCAAAATATCCATTCATTCAACTATCATTGTAAATACCCTTAACATGTGAGTATAAGCAAAACAAACAGGATCTCTGCATAGGATCTCTATGTTGATTTTATTAAGAAAAAGCAACAGAGGGGCAGATGGGATGGTGGTTAAGGACGCTGGACTCCCACATGGCCGACTGTTGTTTGAGTCTCAGACCTGGCAGCTTGCTTTTTCACTTTCTCTCTCTCTCTCTCTCTCTCTCTCTCTCTTGCTCTCTTGCTCTGTCCCTCTCTGGTCAAAATTAAAGAAAAATTACATAAAATGATTCTTAAAAAAAAAAGAAAGAAAAAGAAAAAGCAGCAGACGACCAGAGCGTCAGTCAATTATGTACTGTGTGTCACCGGCGTGGGGTGTACAGGTCACCTGTACCTGGAGCACAGAAGTGGTCTGACTCAGCAACAAACCATTCAAACTTTCCTAGGGGGAAATCAGGAAGAGAGATGTTATTGACTACAGATATTTTATCTGCCTCAAAATCAGCTTAAACTCCACTACTGGCAGAGGCATGGTGCACTGACCTAAAACATACACGCTAGGTCATTCAAAGAAACTGGAGGGACAGGAAGGCAGAGAAATGTGTTGGTCTGTGGAAAGTATATGTGGCTGTGAGGAGCAGCTACAATTTGAATATTAAGGGACCAGCAGTTAGCGTAATGGCAATGTCACTGGACTCCCATATGATCGACCATGGTTCGAGTCCTGAACTCGGTGGCTTAACACTCACACCAGGTACATGTGTATGTGTGCCCAAGATCCTGAGAAGAGAATGGAGGAGAAGCGATTGAGGCGTAACCATCTCCCCCCCCCGGGGGGTGATTTCTTGCTCTCTGTCTTTCTGGCGAGCACACGCACCCTATAGCAAAAAAAAAAAAAAAAAAAAAGAAAGAAAGAAAAAAAGAAAACTTCTCCAAAAAATAAGAAATAAATATTAAAAGGATTCAGTCAACTGTCCAATGCATACACTCCCCATAGTCAGCCTAAATGGAAGTGACTTCAATCTACTTTTACCTCTTCAGACTGAACTCCTGGCAGCTTTGAAATAGAGACCCTCAGAGACTCAACTTCTCTTCAGAGACCCTCTTCAGACTCAACTCCTGGCAGCTTTGAAACAGAGACCCTCTTTCTCATCACCTCTCTACTAAATAAATACAATGTGTCTGGAGAGAAAAAACATGAGCATCTCCTCAGGAAGAGTGGGTTCCCGCTTCACCAGAGTCCTACTGAAAAGAACATCACCGGCTTCAGGGCATCAGAGGCTTGTCCTCAACTTCTGTACATGTAACCCGGGGTATGGTGTCATCTAGGAAATGAGAACAACACTCATATCTCCAAAAAATGCTATGCTTAAATGAGATAACGGATGTAAAACAGGATACAGAGTAGCCACTCATTTTTTGTTTTAATTTTGCTGTAGGGCATGTACGCTCACAAGAGACAGCATGAGAGGGAAAGTGAGAAAGCACCCCTCAAGGAGGTTGGCCCCCTCCTCCTCCATCCTTCTCTTGGGCACATATACCTATGTGACCCGTGTGTTTTTCAAGCTACCAAGTCCAGGACTTGAATCTCACAGTTGGCCATGTAGAATCCTGCCCTCTTAACATCATGCCACCAGCTAGCCCCATAGCGTTTTTTTAAAAATTTCACTGGCCATTTTCTGACCAGAAAACATAAGACATTGGGAATGATTGTTGGGAATAATTTCGAATGTCAAACCTGCTTGATAACTACAGGCTCCCTATATGTTGAAAGGACCCATAAATAATTACTGATTAAAGGAATCATATATTATATAATATCGATGAGTTATGAGCTAAAATTACTATCATCTTAGAATTTCATCAAAGGCTTGTTCTCATAAGGCAGGGAAAAATAGCTGACCCTAAATATTCAGAGAAACTCAGTCTGTTTTTATTGCAGTAACTCAAAAATTAAAAAAAAAAATGTATTAACCAGAACTGAAGCTTAGGAAACAACAAAAGCGCCAGCAGGTGGTATGGTGGTGAACGTGCTGGATTCCCACACCGCAGACCACAATCCGAGTGCCTGACCCGTTGGCTTGAAAATCACACTAGGTGTGTGCCGCGTGCATACCGAAAATCCCCAGAGGAAAACGAAGAGGGATTTCGGTGTGGCCATTCCCCTGGGAGGCTGATTTTTCACATTCCCTCTCTCTGTCTCTCTGGTGAACATACACTCCCTATGCCCTATGGCAAAATCCTAAACACAAAAAATAAAACACAACAACGAAAACCTAGGGCTCACTCTTCCGTTGTACAGCTATCTACGGGGCTCATGGGATACTAAAGGTGACACTTTGTCACACTACTGACCATTTAAATTCAGCGTTCCTTTTCCAGTTCTAAGAATAGCTCACACTTTTGGAGACAGAAAAAAAAAAAAGTATTTGGGAAACCAGATAAAGAAATCCAGAATCATTTGTCCTAATTTCTTACTGTTCATTTTTGGGAAAAAAGGAAATGTGTTTTGCTCACTGAATACAACGGCTGAGTGTGAGACGTGTCACCCTCGGTCGGTTGTACACAGTGCCAATTTGCACCTGGAAGCACGAGCTGTGGTTAATGTGTTGTGGCCTGTAATTATAAATTAAACAATCATGAAATTACACAGTCCACTTAATTGATAAACAAACTGGGAAAAGTTAGCCAACACTCACTAGAGTGACAAATCTCGCTTTTTGTTGGTTTGATATGCCTTTTTCATTTCAATTCCAGCAATTTTCTGTGTAAATATTTATGTTTTACTTATTTGTTGAGAAAAACTCGGGCTTTAAATGGAAAGCTCATGTATAAACGAGGAATAAAAAGAGTACACTTGTAAAAAAATCTGTTTCGCCCGAGGTTAAACAAAACTGTAAATGTAGCAAGTGTGAAATCTGATTGGCAACTTCAGATCAAATATCCTATTTCTTTAACTATCTGATGATGTAAAATCAATTGAGTTTTTTCCCTATCAAAAAGTTTACTCACTTTCAGTATTCTCTACTAGGTACTGAGCATTGACTCAAGCGTTAAGGATAAAGCTGCTAACTGACAATTAGTGTACCTGTGGGTGGCTTTGGATTTTGTTTTTAATTCTGTGGATTGTGTTTAAACAATTCAAAAGTCTGTTTCTGATTTTGAGATACTAAGTGGTACTGGGCAGTTGTCATTTTATTGAATGTGTACAACAGTCCCGAGAAGTTTATAAAGCATACCCTTATATAGCTTCAGGTGCTAGAATTAAAACTGATCTGGGAGCCTGCAGGTGGCATGGTGGTTAAGGTGCTGGACTCCCACATGGCCAACCACATTTCAAGTCCCGGACTTAGCAGCTTGCTCTCTCACTTTTTCTTTTGCTCTGTTCCTCTCTGGTCAAATTTAAAAATCAGTAAATAAATAAATAAAGTTAAATAATTCTTAAAAAAAAAACCCTGATCTGTTATAAAATTTTAAAAACTATGGAAAAAAAAGTTTACTCACTGGATAATCAGACCTAAGTAAGGTATGTGTATTTTTTTTTTTTCCCTTTTAGATATCTACCTCATTCTTCTTAAATCAGTAAATGGTCCAACATCTCTAAGTCAATAAGGACAAGAGGGTGGGGCTGGGAAGTCACTATGATTACTGGCCCTTTGCAGTTATTGATAAGTCACCCAATCTACTCTAAATGTTTCAAAAATCAATTTTTCTTCAACTAGTTCTAAAATTTCCTTTTTAACTCCCTTCAACGAACTGTACAGAAATCAACATGGAACAGTGTTGACCGTCAAATCTGTCACACATCATAATTCACAATTTGGGGGCAGCTTTCATTAGGGCTGCTAGAGAAAAGGCTTGCCCCAAGTTGATGCCCACTCCCCAGTTGTAATTTCCCATGCTTTCTAGTTTGTAGATCCCACGTTGCAGGTTCTTTGGACCTAGTGGAGTCCCATGCAAAAGGGAGTTGCAACAGGTTTTGAAGGGAAAGGACAACTCTTTGCTCTCATCAACGTGGATTAAGTAAAATCGGTCATTACTAACAACCAGGACATGCGGAACTCAGCAAATAACTCGGGACTGCGGAAGCACACCCGCCACGCAGTCACCGAGGCGGTGTAAAAGCCACCAAGCATCCTTCCCTAGCAGCACCTCTTTGTGTCCTGAGACTTCGCCAACCCCTAGGGGCCCGAGGAAGAGTAAAGCTAGGCTACCGTCTCCCCTGGGGCCGCCAAGGGAGTAGCTCAGGTCTTTCTCCGGGTTTCTGGCCCAGTCCCAGGCAGACCCCACTTTACTGCGGCGCGGGGAGGCCAATTCCTGGGGAATATCTAAACCTGACTGCGGAGGCTGCTCTCTGCAGCTTCGCGGATCCGTCCTCATCCCTGTCCCCAGAGTAATGATGAAGCCCAGGATCTGTCCAGGGCCAGGCACGCACTCTGCCAGCCCCTTCCTCAGGCCTCGGATCCATCGCAGGCCGGGTCCTTCATCTCCAGGCCCAAGCCTTCCTCCAGGGCCCACCCTCGGAACTCCCCACAGCCCCCCGAAACCAATCCAGAATCCAGACAGCAAGCTAAGCGCCGTCCCATTCCCTCTCAGGCTTTCAGCACAATGCTCCGCCCTGGGCCTAAGGACGGGAACGGGATGACCCGCGGGCTCCGGAGGGGCCCGCGCCCCCCACACTCACCATCCTCCCGCCGAGTCCCTCCTCCTCCTCCTCCTCCTCCTCCTCCTCCTCTTCTGGCCTCCCCCGTTACCAGGGGCAACTGCTGCGACGCCGCCCCCGACGTCCCTAGCACGCACAGCGGAGGAGCAAAGCAGCGGTACGGGGCGGGGTCCAGCTCCGCTTTCCCCAAAGTGCGCAAGCGCACCAAAGTGCCTGCCCACTGCGCAGGCGGGCTGCAGGAGCCGCGGGAGGCCGGGGCTGGCTGGCAGAAACCCGGGAATGGTGAGCACTCGCCCACGTGGCTGGCGGGAGCCTCCCGGCCTGTGATTGGTCCTGCAGGAGGGGCGTGGGGCGGGCAAGGGGGCGGTACCAGTGCCAGGCTTCCAACGCGGGCTGCAACTGGGGGCGTAGTCACAGTACTACTCTCCCAGGACTAGGTAAGGGGCTGGGCGAAGAGGCCGCTCGCCACAAGTACCTCTAGTCCCCACGTCCCGGGAGGGAGCTCGAATTTCCGTCCTGACTACGCCAAGGTGAGGCACCAGCGCCTGTGGGACTGCCACCTGCAAAGGCCACGTGGCACTAAGGGTGGCCTGGGGCTGCCGGTGGACCGCACCCCTCTAACGCTCAGGGCTGTAGCAGGCCAAGGGGTGGGGGCGTTACGGGATGCACGCCCATCTCCACAGCCCCGTGTTAGAGTCCGGGATGGAAGAGTCCCGGGGAGTGGAAGGGAGGCCGCCAATGGGAAAGGAAGAAGCAACCTGAAGGCACCGTGAGCCCAGAAGTGAGCAGGCAGTAGGAGGGAAAGGCATTTTAGAATGGGCTGAGTTTCAGTAAGGGCCACTGGACCAGACAGTACGTCTGTACTCTTGGAGAAGGCAAAAATGGATCTGCACTTCCATTCAGGGAGAAGCAAAGGCGATTCCAGGTGGTTGGGAAGTGCCACCTCCCACCCCTTTCCCACACAGAGAACCGTGAGAAGTTATCACATATGTGCCAGGCCCTGTAGTTGGTGCTGGAGACACTGCAGTGGGCCAGATCTGCCCTCATGGAAAATTCTGGGCATCCTCTGGAGTCAGATGCTTTTCCTAGAAGCTTTCATTTCATTCTCTGAACCCTGGAAATTGGTTATTTAATAGATAAGCGTCAGATTTCAACCGACATGCAAGCACTGTTTGCACTATGTTGCTTGCAAACACTATTGACCAGGAAGGAGGAACCAAGTAGTTTATATCTGTGATGTAAACCCAGAACTTTTTCTTCTTTTTAAGAAAAGTGTATTTTAGGGGCCCGCAGGTGGCATAATGGTTAAGGTGCAAGACTCCCACATGGCCGACCACTGTTGGAGTCCTGTATCTAGCAGCTTGCTTTCTCACTTTCCTTATCTCTCTCTCTCTTTCTCTCTGTCTGTCTCTGGTGAGCACATGTGCCCTATAGCAAATCAAAAAATAATATTAACATGGGGACTAACAGGTAGCGTGGTGGTTAAGGCACTGGACACACCAGGTCCAAGACCCTGGGTTTGGGTCTTGGACCTGGTGACTTGCTTTCTTGCTTCCCCTCTCTCTTTCTCTCTCTCTCTCTGTCTCTCTCTGGTCAAATTAAAAAATAAATGAATCAATAATTAAGTAAATAATTCTTTTAAAAATAAAGTAAGAATGGCCATGCCACTTTCTCCTCCATTCTCCTCTGGATATTTTGGGCACTCATACACACGCGCCTGGCATGTTTCAAGCCGCTGGGTCTGGGACTTGGGCTGCAGTTGACCACATGGGAGTACAGCACCTTAGCCACTATGCCACATTTTGGCCCCAATTCAATTAATTTTTAGTCCTGGCCTCCAAGATGATTACAGACTACTAGGGAGAAAATATATTTAAATGATGATTATAGTATTTATTTATGTAAAAAATAGGGGCCAGCAGGTGGCGTGGTGGTTGGGACGCTAGAATTCCCACGTGACCATCCTCGGTTTGAGTTCCAGACCTAGCAGCTTGGATTCTCACTCTTCCTCTCTTCTCTCTCTCTCACTCAAAACTCATGTGGAACAAAAATAATTTTTTAAAAAGAATTATTTATTTATTTATTTATTTTCATATGTGTTTTGCCAGAGAAAGACAGAGAGAGAGAGAGAGAGAAGAGAGAAGGCCTCCAGGTCTGGGACTCGAACCATGGTTAGCCATGTGGGAATTCCAGCACCTTCACCACCATGCTACTAAAATAATAAATTTAAAAATGAAATAAATAACTCTTAAAAAAATAACAATAAATAAAATTGAATAATTTTTAAGTCAGTTTTTACGGGGCCAGCAAGTGGCGTCGTGGTTACATTGCTGGATTCCCATATGGCCTACCGTGGTTTGAATCCCAGACCTGGTGGTTTGAAAATCATGCCAGGCACGTATGTGTGTGTGCCCAAGATCCCAGGAGGAGAAGGGATTGCAGTGTAGCCATTCCTTCTGGGAGTGATTTCTCACTTTTCTTCTCACTGTCTCTAGCTCTGGCAAGAGCACATGCCCTAAGGCAAAAAACTCTAAAAACAAAAGTTATTTTTTTTTTCATGGTAGAGAGCATGTGCATGTGCACGTGACATTGAGAGAGAGAGCCCCCAGAGGGACCTGGTCACACAGCCTTTCCCTCCTGTCAGGATCCTGGCCATGCCCCTGTGAGCTTGTTTATAGGATGGATCCCACTGGTCAGCCATGTGGGCGCAGACTTCCTCTGCAGTGCCTGACTGCTATACCCAGGAAGAGGGCCCTAAACTCAGAACCTTTGAGGATTTCTTTTTGTTTTTTTTTTGGCATAGAGTGAATACCGTTGCCGGAGGGACAGAAAGAAGGAAAGCGAACCCCCCCCCCAACATTTCCAGTAGAGGGATGGCTACCACAATCCCTTCTCCTCCATTTTCCTCTTGAAATTTTGGGCAGTCATGCACACATGTCTAGTGAGATTTTCAAACTGCTGGGTCTGGGACTTAAACCACAGTCAGCCATGTGGGAATCCAGTGCCTTTAACCACTATACTATTTGCTGGCCCCTAAACTCAGAACTTACTTTTTAGAGAGATTTTTTGCTATAGAGCGCGTGTGCTTGCCAGAGAGACAAAAAGCGAGAAATCTCCCCCCAGTGGGGACAGCCACGCCACAGTTCCTTCTCCTCCATTCTCCTCGGGGTTTCGCGCACACACGCCCGGTATGTAAACTTAGAACTTGTTAAGAACTGACAAATTCTGGGCGTGGATGATACACCTGGCCATTTGCTGATCAGTGTGTGTGTTTTCTGCTTCACTGGGTTCTTTGAGGGGAATTGGTGTGCATTATTATATATCAAGTAATAGACTATTGCCTGACACAGTGTTAGATCGGGGTTAGCTGTTATTATTAATTCCATCTGTGGTTTTTGGACTTTGCCTCTCTTCCTACCAGCAGGCTTCCTAGCCTAGTTAAGATTTCTGGAATGAAGGCAGATTTTCCAAAATGGTCCTTACCTGACTAGGCATTCAACTGAAGCATTTTTAACATATATGCTACTTGCATGACTGCTTCAGATCCGTGGAGAAAAAACTCAGTTTGGAGCTTGACTAATTGAAACCAGGCAAGGCTGATTTCTGGTCTGGTGCCTAGTGTGGCAGTTGACCTGGAAGCAAATGAGTGTCCATAAGCATACGCGTGGGCCCGCTGTTTAATTTTTACTCCCATTCTCCAGCTCACTCCAGGCGGCCAGGGCGGCAATCCTGGCCGGTGTCAGTGGCCTTTGTGTCTGACCTCCTGGAGTCTGTGGTGGCCTTGTTCTCACTCTGATGTCAGGTCCCATGATCATGCTTTGTTTTTCTTCCTACCTGGGGCTGTGAACTGGGAGATCTCGGGCCCTTTCCTTCCTTGTAAGAGGATACTGCAGAAAGGATTTGGAAGCCTGTTCTCTGAGTTCTGATACTGTTTGCCAGAGAAAAATCAGCTTTCTTTGGGACGGATGAGTATTACTGTGAGAGAGGTAATCATTGACTTCACTTTCTCTTTTCTCTTGTTCTTTTCTTTCTTCTTTTCAGAATTACTTATTTAATTCCATTTATTGTTATGATTTTTTAATTTGACCAGACAGAGAGAGAAAGGGAAAGTGAGAAAGCAAGCTGCCAGGTCCGGGACTCAAACCATAATCAGCCTTATGGGAATCTAGCACCCTTAGCTACCACACCACCTGCCAGCCCCTCTTTCTTTCTTTCTTTTTTGGAGAGTTTGTTTTTTTTTTTTTGCTATAAGAGGGTGTGTGTTCGCCAGAAAGACAGAGAGAGACAGAGATATCACCCCCAAGGAGGAGGGCCACACCGCAATCCCTTCTCCTCCATTCTTCTGGGATCTTGGGCACACACACACATGTGCCTGGCGTGAGTTTAAGACACCAACTTTGGGACTCGAACCGTGGTCAACTACATGGGAGTCCAGTGACATAGCCATTTATGCTAACTGCTGGTCCCATCTCTTTCCTCCTTTTTTTTTTTTTTTT